AGGCAGCGCCGGTCCCCACGCAGCCCCTGGAGCAGCAGCAGAGAGCACGGGGAAGGCGGGCTGTGGTGCGGGTGCTCTCACATGAATCCCATAGGAAAACAAGCCAGTGTTGGGAGGGCTGAAGGGGAAAACAGGTACAGAGGGACCAGACTACACCGCTGGAAGTGCCGGGAGCCATCGGTGAGGGAGCTCAAACGACATTTGGTATTTAAGCCCTGCCTTCATTCAGCCCTTTGCAGGTTGATTCCCCCTTGCAGCTGGCAGAAAGCCTTTGAGGCCACTAACCTGGCGAAAAATACCACAAAAGGAATTCCTATACAGGAGTAAATTTAATAAAACCACCACCAATTGTTTACTTTAACATAGCTCTTGTTACAGAAATAATAAAAATGGACTCAGCAGCTAACTCGTTAGTTCTTTCCCCTTTTAATTGAAAAATAGTCCGCTGATTTCAACTTCTACTGCACTAGATGGAGTGTTAAATATGTGCCAGGACAGGACGCCCAGTAATTGAGCCCAAAACAAACACAAAGACAATGCAATCATCTTTCCTTTTCAATGTTATGACTCGTTATAATGTAAGTGAAACTCAAACAGCAAGGAAGGGTCCGTTTGACAGGTGAGAGGGGGAAAGAGAGGAGATCCACAGCCGAAATTTGTCCATTAAGTCTTGTGAGAAGCGGTGCAGAAACACCCCTTCCTTTTCCTGCCTTGGAATTAGAACTCTGAATCCACACACACCCCTCCTCTGGGGTCAGAGCACGTGTCCTGCGTGCACAGGTGGGAACAGCAGAGCTGGATTGGGGTAGGTATTGATCCAGGGCCAAACCAAAATAGACTAAAAGGCAAAACTCATCCTGAACCGGAGGCTCCTGAGTTGCTCCCGCGACGCACACGGGTCACCGAGCGCCAGGAGCTGCGTAAGGGGACAGGGCCGGCGCCAGCGGTGGATGGAAACACACACAGAAGGAAGAGGAGAAGCTACTGCTCTGGGAAAAGCCTTCCGGAAAGAAATGAACTAAACTGTATATTCACTACAGCAGCACACGCTCCCCCCGCCCCAGCCCAGGGCAAACCAAACCAAACTGAAAGAAACTGCACAGCAAATAGACATAATCTTGAAGATTTTTAAAGAATAAATATTTTTTTTTGTAATTAAACATTATGCAAACACGTGCCACGCTTGCTCTTTGTCCATGCATATGCGCTATATACAACTTTGAAAAATACTGTGTTGTCCTCTTTTTGTTTTAAAAGTCATATACAAAGGTTTTTTTGTTGGTTTTTTTTTCTTCATGTCTGTGTACCCCCCTTCCTCCCCTCCCCTCCCCAAGAATCACCTTTACAACGATCCAAATCCACATTCATTCATGTACTTGGGTGGCAGAGAGGAGGAGGAGGGGGGTAGGGAGAGCCTTCCCCCCCTTACCAAAGTACATCAAAATGGCTGGTTTGGACATGAAAAGCAGTGTCAAGAAACTGGTTTAAATTTCATCTGTACTACACACAGGAAAAGAAAGATAGAAAAGAAAAAAAGGAGTCTGCTTGGAGAATGAAGCTACGTTACAAGTTAAAGTTGGAGGGTTTTTCCTTTTTAGTGCGTCTGTCACACGCGTGTTGGCCACCTAGAATACTGTTGTACAATGGGTTATCTACCTTTGTTTTTTATTACAATATAATTTACTTAAATGTTCTGTTAACAAAACAGAATCCCAGTACTACAGACCAGCGGTGGTAATAGGCGGAGCGCCTTGTGTGTGTTTATTGGAATTGCATGAGCACTCTAGAGATGGGAAAGGTTTCAGAGTTCATTTTATGCAGGGCCAGGCTCAGTCCTCGATGTATTCCCACAGGTCCTTCTCGTAGCCTTCATGCACATGCTGCAACAAAACCCTTCGTCGGCTCTCGCAGTATCTGGGACAAAGAGGAAGAGCACAGAGGAAGCACATCAGGAACCACAGCTCAGTGCCGGCAGCCAGCAATGCAGACCTACATTAAGCCTCGCTTCCAAAAGAGGAGATCCCCCCGAGAAGGGACTTCGTCGCCCGTTAACAGCACTAATTAAGACTTGAGTTACTCCAGTCACTCAGCTGCAGGTCCCTGGCTGCAAAAACAGCATGCAAATTTAGAGCTTCCCATGCAAAAGCATCCCTACAGCTGAGAAACCGCCACTAACAACTGGAAAAGGAAGAAGCGGTGGCTGCAAAGTGCTGAAGCCAGAGCACAGGTCTGTGTCACAGCAGTGACACCCAAAATAGGCTGAAGCTCCCTCAAACATGGGCTGGTGCCTACCCTAAGCTGTAGCAGGATGACAAAAACCAGGAGGCTAGCTGGGCAAAACCCAGTTTCATTCACCCTCTAGAAACCCAGTGGAGATGGAAGCGGTCCTTCTGGCTACAAAAAGGGTTGCTGGGCTGGATGGAGTTCAAGCGTTACCTTGCATTGCAACTCTTGGCTCTCACAGGGTTACTACACCCTGCGGGGTCTTCCCACCTACACTCGCTTCTACAAAGCTGCAGATAAAACCTGATCCCAGAGTTAGGTACAGTCCTACCAGGATCAATGATACTGAGGAAAAGTGATATCATAGGAACATATCAAAAGATGCCATGTTCATTTCGGGTGCGTTAGCCAACTAAAAAGATAAAAAGCAGAGAAACATTTAAAGTATTCAGGTTCCAAAGAGCAAATGATAAATAAGCAGCAGCATTTCCGAATTAAACCCCTTCCAGTGGTGATATCAAAGCCTCCAGCATCTTCAGGCACGCAGGGAACAAGACAAGTCTCAGTTACAGCTCCAATGCCCAGCTGTGGAGCCAGTTCATGGATCACCAGCACACAACACACCACTCTGGGCTGGAACGGGAGAAACTGGAAACCAGGAGCCGACTGCCAAGCTGCTGGTTCCTGATGGGAACTGTGTGCTTCAGTTTCCTGCAGATTTATCTGGATGAAACTGCTCTGCCTCTTCTCACCACTATCGGCTCTTAGAACAGAAGTCATCGCACACAAAGTCCCACTGATCTTCTGACGCATGTGACAGCAAACACACACAGTTGCTGCTCTCCCAACTTCAGTCATTTTGCTGGGGGGGGTTTAATCCCACTTTCTAGAAGTGTCTTTGCAAGCTAAGGGATTGGAACAGCTCAAACCAAACCAACTATGGGGTCAGGTCCTGCACGTTCCCAGAGCTCTTTAAACCCACGCCAACAACATCCTCGGTCCCAGTCTTACACCATAACCGGCACACAAAGAGCACTGTGCAGGACACGATTAAGACATGACTGAACTAGTTAATATGGGACTTGCATGGGCTTGACAGTTGCATACTTTCATGCCAGAAACATGAAAGCAGTTTTGGGACACTGTGTTTTCAGGCAGTTCAGGCTCTATTAGGTTTTAATTTCTTCTGGATAGTTGTTACCGTGCCTAGAAGCGCATCCCGTTTCAAAGGACTTAACTGAACATGCAGCTTGATCTGAGATACCAACTTAATGGTTGTCTTAAGAGCATTAATCACAAAATACCTCAAAGGAGAAGGTCTGGTAAGTCTTTTCCAGCCCCAGCCGTGCTGCCAGACTATGTAAAAGCCACAAGCCCACTAAAACTTAATGGCTACTGCCACCCCCCAGAGTACTTTAGTCACTACAGCTCACCCTATTTTGGCTTTATTTCCCCCCTAAGCCAGGCATAACAAATTCAGTGACTTTGGCAAAATGCCTCAAAAACACAAGCCCTAATCCTGTGACTCATCTGCATTCCCAGCTTTGTATTTTTCCACTGTGCAGAAGTGATTCCCCTGGGAGTGTGAAAACCCTTGGCACTTGTGCCACCTGGACCCTGGTTCCTCTGCTCTCCTCCCTCTCTCTTAAGGACAGCTTTTCTACACCCACTTTTTGCAGAAATAGACCAAAACCAGATGAATAAGAGCTGATTGCTCCCTTATGGCAACTCATCCTAAGCCAAAGCTGTCAGCCTGGAACAATAGAATCACTCCTTGTTCTTCAGCCCTCACTACACAGGTCCCATCTTGGTCCTGGCCATTCCCACGCACTCCTGTGCAGGAACAGCACTGTATTAAAAGCTGTAGCTTCTGGTCACAAGTTCCTTCCATTATGGGATTAAATCTTCTCGCTACTGCTCAGCAGAGCGGATACAAGGCAGTGCTGGAGCCTCTCCCTGCAGACTGTCACCTCCCCAGGGGCTGGTCCCAGCCAGGGCACACAGAATCCTGCTGCCAGCATCTGTGTGAGGGCTTCACCGCTGAGGACCAGGGGCTGGTGTGGGACACCGCCACTGCTGTTCTCTGATGCCCAGGGTCTGGCTGATGATCACAGTGTATGGCAGAAGGCCAAGAGCAAACAGCTTCCCAGGGATATGACTCTGGAGAAACCATAGCTTGGCAAGTACACGTGCCACTACCTGTCACGTGGGATGAGAATACAGGCAGCTTTGAGGTAAACGATTATTCAGACAACAAACCTGTACTTATCCTGCACTTTCTGCTTTATGTCTTGCAGCGAATCTTGGGATATATCTCGCTCAAGGTACCCAGAAAGCACTTCTGTAGCATTCTCTAAGTCTGCTTGGTTATTCTACAAAGACAGGGGTAAAAAAACAAACAAACAAACAAAGAGTATGGGGGTTAAGGAAAGCAAGACTTCTTTTTCCTCAATGCAACTGAAATCAGTATTGAAAGAAAACAAGGATTAGATAATGCACCAAGTAATGCTCGAGTAACCTCCTCCAAGCATCAAGACTAAAAAGCTGAGATTTCTTCATTTGATTAAAAGAGAACCTGCATATCTACCAGCAAGTCTTATGTCTTCCTCGATCTGCAGTATCCCAGCCTGGTTTGGGTTGGAAGGGCCCTTAAAGCTCACCCAGTTCCAACTCCCTGCCACAGGCAGGGACACCTTCCACTAGAGCAGGTTGCTCCAAGCCCCTGTGTCCAAGCTGGCCTTGAACACTGCCAGGGATGGGCCAGCCACAGCTTCTCTGGGCACCCTGTGCCAGCGCCTCAGCACCCTCACAGGGAAGAGCTTCTGCCTCAGAGCTCATCTCAATCTCCCCTCTGGCAGGTTCAAGCCATTGCCCTTGTCCTGTCCCTCCAGGCCCTTGTCCAAAGCCCCTCTCCAGGTTTCCTGGAGCCCCTTTAGGCCCGGGAGCTGCTCTAAGGTGTCCCCTACAGGAGCCTTCTCTTCTCCAGGCTGACCCAGCCCAGCTCTGTCAGCCTCTTCCATGTCTCATTTTGTCCCTTATCTATTTTTCTTTTACCAGCAAAGCCTCTGCTGACTCCTGGTACCTGCACAGCAGCACCGGAGCACAGCCTGCACTCCTGCTCAGCAGCTGTGTGTGCCCTTTGCTGAGCACATAGCACAGAAGCATCCTGCTTAGCTTCTGCACACAGACAACCAACAAAGGACTGCTCCAAATCATAAACGTCTCATTTTGTCCCTTATCTATTTTTCTTTTACCAGCAAAGCCTCTGCTGACTCCTGGTACCTGCACAGCAGCACCGGAGCACAGCCTGCACTCCTGCTCAGCAGCTGTGTGTGCCCTTTGCTGAGCACATAGCACAGAAGCATCCTGCTTAGCTTCTGCACACAGACAACCAACAAAGGACTGCTCCAAATCATAAACAGTCATAGAATCACAGAACAGTTTGGGTTGGAAAGGACCTTAAGATCATCTAGTTCCAACCCCCCTGCCATGAGCAGGGACACCACACACTG